TTTATATAAATAAACTAACAGTGCATTGCATTGCGGGATGTACTGTGCAAATCTAGCAGCCATCTCGATATTCTAAGCATACAAAAAAAGTATGCATACTAAATTCTCCTTGCAGCCCAAGTCTTCACCTCTCTCTCCTAATCAGTTCCACCCATTCAAGAAAAAAAAAAAAAAAGAATATGGTCGATTCCACAAACAAATCAATCATGCCCTGGCATCGCCCACTAATTGAATTAACCAAACGGGACTGTAGGTGCTGGAAAAAGTGTGTGTCTGTGTGTTGAAGATGGTCAGGTTCCTTTTGCTTGAGAGCTGTTACCAAGCCTAATCAAGCATGCCGAGAGCCGTCACGTGCACACGGCCTCTAATAGACAGCTGCATGGTAGCGCTGGTCACGGTTCACGGCTGCCCTCGCCTCCACACCTGGCTGCCATGCTCCAAGCCCCAGCAGAGCTGCCTCCTGACACGGCCTCCACTTAACAGACAGCCCAGCCTGTTTTCCCCCATGATCCTGGATCGGATGGATGACGGGAGATGACAAGACTTCATCTCCCGAGGTCATCGCTAAAGCCCGAAGCGGTCACAGGTCAACGGTTACCCCGTGTCCGTCAGTCACGAGCGCACGCCAACTCCGGCTGTTCGTGACAAAAACACTTAATGGCCAGTTTAAAAGACACGGGTCGCATTGACACCGAAGCAGTGGAGAATTCCCAAAATGAGCTTTCCACAATCCGTGACTAGTTGGATTTGCCAGCAGAGATCTTTACTAAACAGATTTACTAAACAGGGCAAATTAGCTCGAGAGCGCAATTCCAAAACAGCGCCAATGGGTGTGGAATTTTCTGCGGGTGATTTATATATTTCTGAGACGCGAGGTGTGCTCTGATTGGCCAGCTATCCAGTACGTTGTGATTGGCCGAATACTAGTTGTGTCCTCTTTTGGAAGACCAAACAAAGTAGTCACACACATCGTCACACACGGCGGGCTAGAGTTAGCGGCGGCCGGCGGGCTTGAGAACAGCGTGGCCGGCGGGCTTGTGCCAACCACATGTGACGACCCTGGGCTGGACTCCGCTTCGTCCACGGTGAAAGCCGATCCGGCGATCCACTG